CGTTCTTTTTTTGCGCGCCGCGGAACTCAGAGTTTGTCCGCGCGCGGTGAGTTTTATTTCCTATTCCGTCAAATTGTTCATTCATCTCGCACGCGATCGCCGATTTATCGCGGCCAAGCGTGCCGCACCTGCTGCGTTCAGGTTGAAGCGCGCGCGACGGGAGTTTCGCGAATTACACGAGCGCACGTATTTCTTCATGGCGGTCGTCATGGGGGAGGAAACGCAATTACGCGTTGCGCTTAACTCTCGCAAATTTCTTTGCGCGTAAAATTGGAATTTGCGGACGGGGGCTGGAAAAAACCGATTAACTGTCCGAGCCGACTCTTCGGGCGAAATTAGTCCATAGTTACGGAGTCGAGAGACGGCGATAATGGCACTTGTTGGTGAACGGAGCTTGGCCGCTCCGCCGGCTTTGTCCTCTGCAATCAAGTTAGCGCTATTAACAAAACTAGGTTCCTCGCTTTAACTCGTCCTAAAAATTCGCCGCTTCGCGTCGCGTCGCGCTGCGCTGCATTGCGTCGCGTCGCCTCGCCTCGTGTCGGAAAATTGAAGTCTGCAAATTGGCAGTTGCTGTCGCATGTTTTCCGCCGCAATGCACTTAGACGACGAGCCGTCTCCCGCGATAATTTCCGCGCGTTTCTCCCGCACAATAATCGTATTATTTATGAATAATAAAACAAACGAATAAATGTAAATAAATAAAGCTACAATATCGCGCGTATGCGCGTCTATTTTAATTAAGGTAATAAATTCCGATTAAATTCTAACAGACACATCGAATTACCGACGAAATATAAGCGCGTATAATTTCAAATATGTTATTACAGAGCATATAAAGTGTATCCTGGCATAATTTGATTAAAAAGTGCATTACTAACTTTGTATTATTAAATCTGACGATGTTGTTACAAAACCACATAAATATCTTGCAATTACGTCTACGAACGCGATCGAGCATCGCGAATAAATTTCCTATTCTTCACACAGAAATATACACACTGCTTTCAAGTAAATGTTGCATGTTTCGAATATATCATAAGTTTATATATTTGCAAACCTATCATAATCAACTTCTCCATCAAATTTACTCAGAATATATTCTAAATCTTAGCAAGTTTAGCATCACAATCAGGAATACTAAATTAGGACCAAAATTTGGCTTACTTGCTTACATAAAGTCGAAAACCGACTTTTTCTTCAATAAAATCTGATAATATAATATTTTTAAGGAGAAAATAAATTCTTTTGAATATATACATTAATGAGCTTTTCTGCAATTTATGATGAGTATATTCGAGGACTATCGTCAAGAAAATATTCTTTGTTAAAGATAACCATTACTCAAAGGGAGGAAAGTAAGCTGAGTAATCGCTTTTCTTAGCAGTAGGATGATATTTTTCTGTGTATGTGTGTGCGTATGTAACTCCGCGTCCGAGTCCAAAATCACCCCGAAAATTCTCCAAAGGGACACGACCACGAAGGTGGTCTCACGGTTTTCGCGCAACCCTTAACGGATATAACCGGCAGACGCAGAGTCTTCTTTCGCCCTCGTGCCCTCGCACTTTCTCCCCCTCATACGTTTAGGGCAAAAAACGTACGATATTTTAAGTTACCTGAGATTTTTTCAGAAGACACACACAATTTATCGCTGGTCCCTCGAGTCTCTCCTCTTTTTCTCCTTTTCTGTCTCTCTCTCTCTCTCTCTCTCTTTTCCTTCCTCATCGTGGATAACCCATCCCTGCCCATCGCCATCCGCCCGGCGGATAACCCAGCGCTCTGTCCGCCGCCACGTTCGCTCTATGGCGGCACTCTCTTTCATACATAGCTGACATTTACCACCTCCCATATCCACCCTCTCTCATATTACGCGTTGAAATAGCCCTCGTCCCCCGACGAAGGCGCAGCAGGACGTAATAGCATTCTCGGGGAATTACTTATACCCTCCTGTGACCACCACTCATCGTGGCCAAGTTTCTCTCTTTCTACGGGCGCTTTCCTCCTGATAAAGTCTCGCCTTGTTAAGAGCCGCGTTTGTCGCCCTTCCTCTACGCGTCGCGACGATACGGTGAAAATAATCAGCAATAAAGCTCGCGTTTAAGTCGCCAAGCAATTCTCGCCCTTTCTCCGTTGAATATTCGCGCCATCACCACGATGGATATTGATATCTCTGCGACGGAACTTTGCTCATTGGCCCCTTCGCGTTCGAAGCGTTCTCAGAGATCAGTCTTCTCTAGATGTATATTAATTTTAGCCGAATTACTACAAGATATTACAACGTCTCCGTTATGAATCTCCGACTGAGCTGACAGTTTAACACGTTCGCCACCAACATCACGTATATGTGACGCGATGATCTCTTATGAGAAATTAAGAGAGATTACACATGCGAATAAAACAATTCCGTTAGTTAATGTTCCGTTACCTGGTAAGAATAGGGAGCAAATGAAGAACTCGGTTGTAAGAACAAAAAGATTCCCGTAACAGGTTTCTATTTAATCAATTGCTCTTTCAGTTATTGCAACCAAGTTTTAATACAGTCTCCAAACAGCACATATGTTTAAAATACGTCTCGGAGAGATCTTGAAGATATTTAATATAAGTAGGATATCTTTCAGATGTCTCTAAGGTCCGTATTAACAGTCGTCTTGAGACTTGCCTCAAGTGAAATACTCAGATGTAAATTTAGAGTTAGATGCGAGCTTTTCATTTGAATCGTTTAGTATATGTAGCATTATATTTTTTTAGATAAAATCTAACTCTGAATTCTAAGCAGGAAATCGAATTCTAAATTCAAATCTGAGTATCTCACTTAAGGTAAGTTTCAAATAACGATCAATACTCGTCTTGAACATCTTTTAGACCCGTATATTTTACATAGTATATAGTCGTTTGAAACTCCTTTTAAGTGAGATACTCAGACTTGAGTTTAAAGTCAAATAAAAGTCCTTCTACATTGTAAAAACTGATGTATTAAATTTAACACATTTCATGTGTCCCAAATCATCCACTCTCATTTATGTGTAAATTTAACACAAAACAAATGTGTTAAAAAGTAATACGCATAATATGGAAAAAATTAACACAAGAATTTAACACTTGAATACAGTTAGGAATCACAGATTGTGTTAAATTGACATATTTAATTTGTCAGACATAGATTATGTCAATTTAACATTTTTATTTCATCATAACCATAGATTAATACTTCTCTCAAATGTTAAAGTAACGTTTTATTTTAGTTAATTTAACACTATACATATGTCAATTTAACACAAACCGTGATTCCTGACGGTATTCAAGTGTTAAATTCTTATGTTAATTTTTTACATATTATGCATGTTATTTTTTACCTCATTTGTTTTGTGTTAAATTTACACATAAATGAGTGGACGATTTGGGACACATGATATGTGTTAAATTTAACACATCAGTTTTTACAGTGTAGTTAAATCTCGCAATTACAGATATAATGTCGCATATATCACAGAATTCAATTGAAAATTTTGGATCTAACTCTGAATAAAATACCAATATCTCGTATATAAGACATATTTCAAGTGACCATCAATACAGCTCTTAATGACAGGGGGCTGAAGATTCAAATATACTTTATAATATTACAGACAAATCATTTCTCATCGTCGCATTTTCATCCCTGACTCCTGTTCAGTTGCACGAACTTTTCTCTCTCGTGCGCACAGAAATGTGACGGCAAAAATATTCTACTCCATGTTCACATTATTAAATTAAGTCTGTTTTACACAATTGCGTAAAAAGATAAAAAAATAAAATACGAGATAGTTCGCGGGGGCAGGAGAATCCTGCAAATGAGTCGTGTTGGAGCGAACGTGTTAAGTGTTTGTCTCACGGCGATTTTCAACAATTTTCACGGCAATTTTCATAATGAACCAGTCGCGTATATCTCGGTAATGATTTCCCCGAATATATTTTACGCTGAAAACGTGACGCTAAGGGGACGATTGGTGCGGCTCGTTAAAATATTTCCAACGTACCGCGATTCGCCTCTAACACTCTCTCCTCTTCCGCGCTCATGATACGCGGATAATAACGTAACGGAGAAGAATCATCAGGTAAACATACCGCGAAAATGATACAGGTACGCGACTATCGATACAGATCGTAATCCTTCTAATAAGGAGGAACGAGGGGTGGGAGAGGGGAGGGGCAATAACGTCGTTACGGCTTTCAAGCGAATGGCACAGCCGGACGCATATATCACGATCCGCCATCAAGTACGTCCCATCCAACGGCATTACGTAATTGCAACGGAACGTTTATATAACGGGATATTACGAGTTACATAACGCGACCGGCATAATATATATTCTAATAAGCGCGCACGCCACACACACACACACACACACGCACGCGCACACGCGCGTTGCATGCACAAAGTAAATTTCATCATTATTGAATTGCCGCTTGCAATAAAAACGGCGTCATACACGAGTGCGCGGGGGTCGACGGTCGCTCGATTCACTCGAAATGCAGAAGGTGAAAACCATTTCCCCCTCCGTTCTCCCTCCCATTTTATTCTCTCATCCGCGCGCGCAACGTCGTTTTTTTTCTCCCTCCGGTCTCGTCAAATCCCGTTTGTAATTACGTACGCTTCTTTACATAAATTCGAACGACGCACGGCACGGCACAGAACGCGGCGGGGCACGCGCGTCCGTCGTTTGTGAATATTTTATCATCTTGGCGTAACGCGCTTCCATCGTGCGCTGCATTTGTTGCGCGCTCGTTAAATATTGACGCGGAGGAATGTTAACGGGAGACTTTGCGCACGCGGTGCGCTCGTGGATCGCCGCCAAATGAGAGAACACAATGAGCAACGCTCGCGTGAATTGTTGATACACGCACAATTTATTCTTTTATTGTCGCGCAACAGTCGATGCAGCCGAGCACTACATTGATGACACTTGACGGTAATAGAAGCAGCTTCGGAAATTCGCGTCGGACTACGCCTAGAGGACATCGTGTGAATACTGGTTTTCTTTCTTTATTAGGAATCTATCTCGTGTTACAAGTTGTACATGAGTTGTACCGGTCTCGGGGGATCTCTAGATACTGTAACGCCGTTAACATTAAAGTCGTTAGAAAAATAGATGAACCGTCTCTACACGCAGTTTGTTATTATCAGCGAGCCCGCGCGATCTCCTGACTGCGCGCGGGGAGCTTGCGTCTCGAAAGTGTGTCCACACCCAGATAGACTTTCGTGATTTTAACGCGAAACAATTTATAAAGGAAACATTTTTTTATTAATTTCACCAGACAAGTATACTCATATGTACACTAAGAAAAAAAATCTAAAAATCAACAAATATTTATTAGGTGGACACCATTGAATAATATTACATATTTGCTTAAGTCAAAATCCTTTTCACTTAAATCGAGTATCGTTCACTCGGTTTAAGTGAACAATACTCGATTTAAATGAAGAGAACTTTTATTTAAGTATCCATCTAATAAATATTTGTTAATTTTTTAGTATTTTTTTTCTTAGTGTACTCACATGCTGTATTAAATTAATTATTGAATTTACATCATACAACAATTCACAATTTTCTGTTACTTGATGGAGCAACAAATTTGCCGAAAGTTACACTCAAGTGTAACTTTACACTCATGTTGTTTTGAGCAAATTTTCTTTTATTTTATTCGTGTACTTTTCATGTTTCTTTTTCGTCATTTTACATGACGAGTGCTATTCGCATCACTCATAAGGGCGCAGCTTGTACAAATCGACCAGTAAAGTTGCTCTGCCAAATTCACACTGTACAACTGTCTATCTGGGTGTTTATCTGCCCGAGTAGACTTTCGTGACTATGATAACGTGAGACGAATGTACTGTGTAATATTTACGAGACAAATATACTCTACTGAATTAGTCATTAAATTTACGTCATGCAATAATGCAAATTATTTGTTACATCGGTGCAGCTGCAAATTCCACTAAAAAAGTTACACACAGACTTTCACATTACATTCTGCATGACGCCGTGTCAAACAAATTCTGATCGTTACTTTCGCGCGTTGCCCTCGTATGTGTTTCCATCTCTTCATTCCATATGACAGATATGAGCCACTCGTAAGCGGGACGCAACCTTTACGAATCGACCGGTAAAGTCGCCGGCAAAATTTACGCACACCTATCTATCTGGGCGAAGTTGCCGCGAAATTTACGTACATCTATCTATCCGGGCACGTTTGTACTGGCGTCGTCGTGGTGAGAATATCTAGGTGGCGAAACTTGTCGTAACAACGGAAGCTCCTAACGCGACTACAACTAGTCGATAACACTTCGATAAATCCACCGGTCGCGCGATAAAAGCGCGATGCATCTTCCGCTTTTCTCCCGAGCGCGCGCGTATTCTCTCTCGGCGAAACGTCGCGAGAGAAATTAGGGGAGGGTGGGAAAGTCGAAGTGCGGGACGACAAATTCCTCGTTAGGTTCACCCGGCGATCTTTCGCCGACGAGAACGACGGCCACGGGGATTTACGGTTCGTAAATAAACGACACACACACACTCACGCACAAATACACGCAGTCTCTCTCTCTCTCTCTCGCGATTCTCTCATCGTGCACGACGAGGGGCCGGTCGTGCGTTCACGTCAGCCGGGTTCTTGCTTGTTATCGGCGCATCGGCGGATTAATTTCTCTCGGTGTAATCGACCCGCGCGTTAAGATAAAAATGTTAGTCGCGTGACAGACTGGCCGCGAAAGTAGGCGATACTGATAGGAACGGTAATTTGGTATATTGCGCTTGATACGCGCCGACCTTTCCGCCGGTGGAAAAATAGGAACCTTCACTGCGCGGGGTTAGAAGTCACGTTGACCTGCGAACCGACACGGTGCGTCGTGTGCGAAGCACGCGTCCCGAGGTCCCGAGGCGACCGTGCGCGGTCTCGTGAGCGTGTGCAACAACGTGATCTCTCCTCTCATTTCACTCTCGACACTCCGTCGGTCCTCGGCGTCCCTTCCGCGTCTCGAAGAGATGTGCAACCGAGATTCTACATTTACCTTCATTTTTCATCATTTCGCTTTCGCCTTCGATTTCGTGGAACGAACGCGTGAATAACAAGATTCGAAAAGAATTTATGTGCAAAAAGAGCTGTAACATTCTGTCCGTGTAAATTCCAATCTCCACGTAAAAACGTCTCATGTGAAACAGTAATGACTATTGATTGACGTGCCTAAGTCATCGGTCTCCCTGCTTTAACCCCTTGTCGTTGTCGTTGATTACAAGTCTGTGATGTGATTTTATCTCCTAAGGTTGCATCCCAAAATGTCCTCTTTTAGGAAATTTTACTCGATGCTCTATAGTATATGTAACGTGAACTATAAGTATTGAGTAAGATTCTCAAAAAGGACGCTTTGAAATGCAAGGATCTGACAAGGAGACTCACGAGAAAATTCTGTAAGATTGCGTGAAGTGTGTGCAAGTCAAACTGCGATGTGTATGTATACTTTCGTTCTCCTTGGGCAAGAATTTAAATAGACGCGCAGTCCCACGAGTTCCTTCGCCAACGCGGAGGGCTTAAAGACACGCGAACGGTCGACGTCGTTTCCTCGAACGTCGGCGGGAAGAAGGACCGACGGAGGGTTGAAATCGCGCCGAAATCGCCCGAGATGGATTCATCCTCGCGCCACCAGTTCGAATTTCGATCGAGGTAGTAGTATCTCTGCGTTTGTAGCGTCGAGTCGCGTCCTCGCGACGGCCTCCCTCGATTCGTCGCGCTATCGATCGCGCCGGCCGCCGAAGAATTCGGGAGGGGTGGGCGGGTGGGCGCGGGACGTGTCAGTTTCTTTGCGGTTTTATTACACGGCTCGCCGGAGGTGGCAATTTGTTGAAGCCCGCGTTGTCAAAGACCGGAAGTAGGTCCCTCACTCTTTGTCCCGCGCCGATCGACGCCAGCTCGATCCATCTGCAATGGCGAAACACGTGAAAGGGGTCTCTCGCCCCCCTCCCTCTACCTCTCTCTCTTTCTCATCCCTCCCCCCTTCTTCCTTTCTTTCTTTTTTTTTGCCTGCTTTCGGAACGATCCGTTTCTCCCTAATGCCCGCCAACCTTTTGTGTTTTATTGGCAATGTTCCATTAAAGATATTACGGCAAAGTGGAAGAGCGGATCTCTCTCGCGCGCGTAATGGCGCCGTCATTTTTCCGAGAGTGTTGCAGTGAAATTAATACCAATACCACTTTGCCTTCTCGGATCTCGAAATTTCAAGCGTAACTTTGACAGCGAATCGCGATACTCTCGTTTTATACCGCGTCTAGCGTGATCTTGCACGAAAATGACGATGGATCATCGAAGTGTGATTTTCATCGGGAAGGATCAAGTATGTCCGTATCAACCGAGTTACACCTCGCACCCTTCGAAATTTTAGCTTTACTTTCGACCTGAACTTTCCAATACTTGGGCCAATTAAGCAATTTCTGAAATGCTTTCAGTGAAGAAACGATTTTTCATTAATAGTTATAATTATTAAGGCAAATATTTTGATGTGTGTTATTATATTTTAAATAGTTAAGATGAATATGTAGTCTATTTAGGCGTATACCAAGATAAAGTGTAGTCAGATTTACAAGTCCAGACGCTAATTTGTAAGAGTGTTACATTTTTATGTAAGTCCTAAGTGGACCTGTCTTGGTAAAAGTGTCTTGATAATAGTAGGGAAAAGCTGTCTAGGCTTTTTTCAGTTTTGAATTTCTACCAGAGTAAGTGTCAAATGGAATGTTCAGGTTGAAAGCGGGAGCGAGATTTGGGTTTCGGGGACGTGCATTAACTTCAGAGCGCGCTTTGCGTGACGGAACCGTTCTGTATCGAGCAAAATCATGCAGGTCCGATCGCATCGCGCGTTGTCGAATTAATAACGGCCAAGCCGTGTACAATTCGGAAGTAACGGACGTTTAAACAAGCAGCGCGATCGCGCGCGCGCGCGCGCGTTATTCGGCAATTGTCGACCTCATTCGCGGACGATAGTTAATAAATATCAGGTAATAAATACCCCGGCGCGCGATACCGGGAGCCACCACCGCCGCCGCCGTCGCGCGTAATTTTTAACACTGCCGCGAATTTGCCGTGTTCGATGAATCACACACTCGCGCGCGCGTGCATGTTGCCGCGACCGGCTGACCAGAGAGCCGGCGTGGTGTCGCGCGTCGGCTCGCGAAAGCACACACGCGAATTCACTTCCCACCTGTTGTTTTTGTATTTGGCGAGGGGTTGAGCGGCTGGATGGGGCGTTTCAGTGGGGAAATATGTGGCCCCATAAAAATCCAGACCACGGCTCAGCAGCATCGAGGTCTCCTCCACGCTGGCCAGGGTAACCCTTATAACGGGTGGCCCCGTATAAATCGTCGCCGGCTCGTTCAGATTCTGCGCGTCGCTCTTTAGCTTGTCATTGATGGCCTTCACTGATTTATTTAACACACCCCACATACACGTGCGATTTTATTGCACACGTCGCGTCGAGAAAGGCCCCGATAGCGCGCGTCACGCGGAAAGTAATAGCGCCTTTAATGTATGCGTATGTGCGCCCGCGCGCGCAACTGCACGTCAAATACAATATCAGTTGGGAAATTTATTATTGACGTTGTGCGTTAAAGTACAAAGTGAGAGAGAATAATTGTTGAAATCGTTCAATGCCGCCGGCGTCAAGCGGGTAATTAAACGCGCGAGGCGCTTTTCCGAAAAATGACGCGCGCGTGTGGGACGTTTCGAATGAGTGTTTTGAAAAATCACAGAGCACCAGAGAAGCGTGAGAGCGGAGCAAGCAGTCTATCACGTTACGCAATGCGTATTTGAGCAAGGACTCTTTCTCTCTCTCTCTCTCACGCACACACATACACACACTTTCTCTCTCTCTCTCTCTCTCTCTCTCTCTCTCTCTCTCTCTCTCTTTCTTTCGGGGAAATAAAGATATTATGAGGAATATGGAAAAGAAGAATATTTGCATTTTCGTGACTCACAAACAGTTCCCGTATTCAGGGGTAGCCTGGTTACTTCGACGATAGATCGATACTTGTAGAGAGCATGCCTAATATCGTCCTCCGGCAGCTCCTCGGGCACGTCCAACACGTAGACGGTGAAGATCTTCGCTGGTCTACATGGTATAGCGACCTGCATTATAAATTATAATATTGTTTCTCTTTCTCTCTCTCTCTCTCTCTCTCTCTCTCTCTCTCTCTCTCGAGCACGCGCTTTCTTCTTACTACTGCGTAAACTTATTTCGCAGAAAGGTAGTGCGAGGGTGAGAAAAATATTACGGTAATATACAATCCTATACACAGAATCATAACTAGTTCTGAGATATTTGCGTGCGCCGCACACGAGAATGCGCACGTTCCCCCTAAATCTCATTTTGGAGAAGAAGCCGAACAGCTCGATCACGTCTTAAACTAGTGGTGTCAATTCCGGGTATCTCGAGTACTACCTGACTAGTAAATCTATCCAAAAGTTACACTCCGATTCCTTTCTAATTTGACACAAATGTAGAAGTACAAAAAATATTTAGGTAATATTTTTTCATTTTGCTCCACTTTGAGTTTCATGACCAGTTTATAGCTTTTTAATGTTCTCACTCCTATCATCAAGTGCAACAAAAATGCATAAGAAATAAAATTGAATACAAGATATAGGCGCTTTTAATTTGCTAATTATGAATATGAGGTCAAACGTGTAAAATTATTTGTATAAATAATAAAATGTTTAGACAAAACATGTAAAGTTGAAAAAAAATTATTTATACGAATAATTTCTCGGTTTGAGAGAAATTTGGTCGAGATTCGAACCATTTTTGACTAATTTAGCACAGATTTAAAGTATTTTGGTTGAAATCTCGGCTAAAGAAATTTAAAATGGTTCGTATCTTAGCTATACCGATTTTGTTAAAATTATTTAACTATATCTTGTATTCAATTTTATTTTTTATGCATTTTTGTTGTATTTGATGATAGGAGTGACAACATTAAAAAGCTATAAACTGTTCATGAAACTTAAAGTGAGCCAAAATGAAAAAATATGACCTAAATATTTTTTGTACTTCTACATTTGTACCAAATTAGAAAGAAATCGGAGTGTGCCTTTTAGGTAGGTTCACTTTTGAGTCTTTCTCAATTGAAACTTGAGTATTTCTCAATTTATCCAGATAACTGATATCCAGTTATTTATTCTTATTGTTTCTTCTTATTTATTTTTCAAGTCATTCTATCTATAAAAGTATTAAGGAATAAGAACAATAAAAAGTAGATACTTTGCGAAATACTTTGGTTTTCACCTCAGCACGTGAAATAGCTGGCAAAGTATTTCATTTTCGTTGACTTTAATATTTTAATTCACGAGTACAATATATTTATGTAAAAAAGAACACGTGTAGCTTCATTAAAAAACATTTTTAAGTACTTAGTATTGCATTAAATTACATTAGAAAATATTAAATAAAAAATATTAAGAAATATGTCCAATGAAATTTAATATAATTTTATATTTTTTACCACAATTTTAAATTCCAATTGCAATTTTATTTGTATCAGAGTACACGGGTACTCAGAGAGAGAGAAGGAGAAAGATAGTACACACGAGAATTAGGGCGCCCGAGTATAGAAATACTCTGTTTATACTGATAGCATTACTTTGAACACGCCAATATCTCGTCCAAGGGGTTGAAAACAAAGCGGGAATCCGCGTGGTAGAGATTTTAGTGTAATTTAACGTCGAGACTCTCGTGATTAATGTCACGCAACACGCCCCGGCTGCGTCGCGCGATAATCAAATCAAAGAGAAGACGAATGCGGAAACAAGTTGGCAGCTATCAAGCAATTGTCTTTTGAGTGGCTAAAGTGTTCTTTGTAACCGCCGTTGCGTATCTATACATGTGCTCATGCCACCGGGACGTAGGAGCCATGCAGATCTTGAGATTAGTTGCAGAAGCACTGCAAGGTATTTCTCTGTATCACACACTTTGACTCCGGCGAGGTTAGCCGAGCAACCGTGTAACGTAATTCAACACCCGAGTGTGAAGTCTACGAGCAGCGATGTGTCAAATTATAACCGCGACGTGTTGCAGAGCATCTCCCATTTTGAAGATCCTATCATGCGCGTTGTGTAAAAAGTCGTTCAACCTTGACCGACAATTATGTTCAATAATACTTTTTAATACGTCCGACATGAGAATCGAGTGGGTCAATTTGTACGATTAGTGTATAATTTTCATGTTTGATAATCAATGAGCAAGTTTAAACAAGCCCAACTAAATTTCAACGTTTTCAGCCGGGGGCTGTTCGCGTTATCGCGTGAATGAACAGCTAATCAAGCCGCGAGTGTTCGCCGCTACGTTGAATAGTAACGTATCTACACTGAGAAAAAACGGAGTAGCAAAAACTCAGGGTTACACAAATTTTATAGCGCAAACTGCAGTCGAGACGAGTTGTTAAAAAATTCAACTAAATTCAATCAAAAAAATTTAATCAATAAATAATAATAAAAAGTTGAGAAATCTAAAACGTGCACTGAGAGGAGAGATCTCTAAAAATTAGTAAATATTTATCTGGTGGATAGTAACAGCATATTTACTTAAATCTACATTCTTTTATTTAAATAGAACAAATAATCGTGCTTCCATGTGAAAAATTAAGGTTTTCTCAAAGTTTTAAGGAAACGTATATTTCCTTGTTTGAATAATATTCTATATTCTATATTTTATATTAATATTCTATATTAGATTTTATATTTTACCTTTTTATTTTAGATTATATTAAATTTATATTTTCTACATTAATATTTATATATTCTATATACTAGTATGAGCAAATATGCTGTTAGTATCAATCAAATAAATCTATTTCTTGTATATTTTTTCTTTCAGTGTAGTTCTGTGTATGATGTTGTTCTTTCAACTACCAAAGCCCATATTAATAATCGTTACTTGAAGTTTTTCTCAAGTAAGATACACAGAACTCTGAGCTCAGAGTTAGATGAAAGTTTCCCAGTTGAATCGCGATTACAAATATAATGCCGTACAGTTCAACTGAAAGATTTAGATCTAACTGTAAATGAAAATCTGATTATCTCACATGAGACAAGTTTCAAGTGACAACTATTAATATGGTCCAAAGAGGTTAATCCAACTGAATAATACTGAGTAATTCCATCTAGTGGAAAGTTCAGCAAATCTCGACGGTAAATATTATCAATAATGTGCTGAGTCAGCTTTACGATCGCCTCATTGAACGAAATTTCGCGTTTACTTTACACAAACAAGAAGTTGTGGGAATATGAAAATTTTTCTGAAAGAAACGCGAGGCAGTTAGTTCGCCGTAGACAACTCTGAAATTGAGTTTGTTTAACTCGATTCGGGTTGTTTCAACTGATCTTTCTTTTTCCTCTCTTCCTTTCCTTATACCGTACCTTCTTGTAAAAGCGAGCACCCGTCACTTTGTGAAAACCCTTTTTATACACCGCCTGGTAGTCGTCGATATTGCTGAACTTGAAGAGAATTCCGGTTGCGGTTTTCGTCAGGGAAAATGCGCCCCTAAATCATACAACATAGACGGGAGAGTCGTTTTCACTGTATAATCCGGCGTCATTATGGAAATCGCTAAAAGAGAGATAAGAGGACGCGTACAAGAGTGAGACTGTCGACTCGCGAAAGACGCACGAATCTCGTCGCGTCGCTTCCATACACGACGGGATAATTCTGTGATTAAAAGTCAGAGCCTTCCCTTCACAGCTTCGACATTCATCCATTAGAGGCAATAATTATTTCACCTACATTTCTTACTTAAGAATCAGTCTGTTCATATCCTGGATGCTCTCTGATTGGAATTATCAGAACTAATTTCGTTGAAATTACAGGCGGAGAGAATTTTATGGCAAAATTTTCCACAGAACTTTTTAACCAATGAATACATCGACATTCTGCAATAATTGGTTATCTTTCATTTTATATACGCTATTTATATCTTAGAAACTGAAATATATGTTATTAAAAAATTTATTACATTTCTAGCAGAATTTGTGTACTTTAGCGAGACATGCAATCGAAAAGAATTTATATGAAAAGAAACTACAATATTCTTTATTCTTTTATCCACGTAAATGCAACTGAAAGTTAGATTCTATGAAAAATTAAATTAAATATACCAGTTGATTATCAATCAGCTGATTATATTATCAGTCAAGTGATTTTATTCAACTGGAAAAGGGGCGTCCAATAAATAGGACGCAGTGAGCATTAAAGGGTTAATCGCGAATGAATCCTTGGCCGTTACGTTAACTACTACTACTACGCCCAGACGAGCTTCGTTGTCGATGCGCGAAAAAAGTTCGCCGTCCGACACAGCTGTGTTTAGTGGATTTGTCGTCTGACCCATTACTGCTTCTACTACTGCGTCGCGCGGCACACCGCAGCTGACTTAACTACTTTTAGATCCGATTCCGTGCGAAGCGCTTCGGGATCTCTCGCGGATTAAACACTGAAACACGAAGCGATGTAAAGCATTAACGTCGGTTAATGCACTGGAGTAATTGGTGCGAGTGAAGTTACGACGCGAATCTTCATATCTCTCTCTCTCTCTCTCTCTCTCTCGTCTTGCGTTTCCACGCAATTGTGATTTCGCTCTCACTTGACAGTAAGATAATTAACTGTCTGTAACCGCGTCCACCGCGCTTCCACACAGTCAATTTAAAGCTTCGCGTTAAAATTTTATTGGCAAACTGGTGTAGAATATGCACGCATCTGTTCAGGCTGAAAAAGAACAAAAGTGTACACAGACTGGCATTGTAACTTTAACATGTGATGCAATTAGATTATTTAAATTTTCTAATGAATCAATATGTAATCAATCACATTAAAGTTTGATAAATAATTACTTTCATCAATCGACAAAATTATTTATGTGATTTTGTTATATTATTTTAATAAACTACAATGAGAAAGAGGCAAGGTCATATAGAGTCAGATAATGTCAGATAGAGCCCAATTATAACGTGTCAAAGCTATTATGTCAGTCTACGAATTTCGATTTACACATATTTTACGCAGTTCCGTGAAATATTCGATTTTTATATATACACTGAGAAAAAAATACTTGAAAATTCATTTATAGGATATAAAGTTTATTTTCGTAAAATAAAGTTTACTTCTGTGAAATAAAGATTATTTTTGTAAAATAAACTTTTATTCCACATATACACGCACAAATAAATTTTCAAATATTTTTTTAGTGTACACTGAAAAAAAATACCTAAAAATTCATTTGTGGGATATAGAGCTTGTTTCCGTGAAACAAAGTTTATCTCTGCAAAATAAGGTTTATTTTTTTCTGCGAATAAACTTTATATTTCACAAATAAATTGTCAAATATTTTTTTCTTCGGTGCACTTTACACAATCCCTTTTTAAGTTATCACATAAAAAATACAGTTTAGTCGTCATTGAGATAAACAACTTGCACGTTCGAACTTGCACTAAATGTGAGCACGTCGTTCCGGTAAAAGGTTCAAGGAACCCTTCTCCACGTTCGGCATCCCGTGGCTTTACAGTACAATCGCGCGTATTCAGTTTTCACGCGATCGCACAAGCGGTGGGCGCGAGCCGCGAGCTAAAGCAATTAGAAAACCGTCGTCGGCGATCGCCGACACCTCGTTCGAGCTCATTCATCATAGTTATCAATCGGACAGCGACGCCCAACGCACAACTCGACCGCACGACCGCTCAAAAAAATGTTTTGCCGGTCCAGATAGAACTCTAAACGTCACAGTTAAAATTTATCGCTGCTTTTCGTATCTGCTAGAAAATTGTCTGTGGCACGTAGAATTTACAGCAGCGACAGCAACATTCTAGCAATATCTGCAAGCGAATTAATGCGAGGGTTACATTCGTTTGTCACTGATCTTCCTTGTCTACCACACAGTAAATTTGTATAAGAAATTTCGCGAATAGCTCAGACAAAAACTTCTCGTCACCGTCATCTGTATCGATTAAATACAAAACATACGCGATGTCGCGCACTGGTGATTCCTCGCGCTAGTAATTTCTCGCATCTAGATAATTTCCTCTATGACTGCAAGAGCATTTTTCTGAGTGACGAATCCGACGAACGATCGCGCGGGAAAGAAATCGTCGTTCCAACGACGACGAGGCGGAAGAGGAGAAAGAGGAGGAGGAGGAGGAAGTCGACGACGACGACGACGAAGGAAAGCCACGTCGTCTCGGGACTGATGTCTCTCACCGGAAGTTCATCTTCTCGCAGATGGTGGCGGCCTTCTCCATGCTCAGCTCATGGCTCGGGGTGAGCAGGAAGGCGCCCTTGGTGAGGAAGTCGTTCTCACTGACCTCCGAGTCGGTGTCGTGGTCTTGCCAGTCGGTGGAGCCGCGGCGACCCTCCTGATTCAGGCGCAACATCGAGCTGCTCTTGGACGTCGACATGTCCTTCTCGCACTGTGCACTGCCGCCCTGTTCCGGCTGCGACATCTTTTATAGGGCGTCGCGGGGCAGCGGACCGAGAGAGCGATCGTGATCTCACCCGCGCTCTCGCTCGCTCGACGGGGAACGGTCGGGAGGGCCCCCCGTAGTAACGCGACGTAACGCAGCAGCGTAACAGCGCGTTACGCGAGATCGATCGCTCGATCGTTCGTTCGTTCGCTCGCTCGCCCGAGAGAGAGAGAGGATGTCGCCGCGAGACCGGACACATACGTCGTGCTACACTGCTCCGGGTCGCGTTCTACTACGGTCCTTTTATACGCGGCTGGGTCGCCGCCGATGATCGCCGGCGAGCGAATTAACTTCGACGACGATCCGACGATGGTCGCAAGATCCGGTGCAAAAAACGCCCGTGGGCGCCGACGCGGCCAGTTAACCCCTCGATTGCTGCCGACGCGCCAAACAGAGGTCGGTTGCAAAAGTACGTCGTTGAGACACGCGCGCGCGATGGAGAACGAGTCTGGTGAAGTGGACTTCATCCAGAAAAGATATGATCTTATTCTTAATGGATATCCTTTTGCGAATGCTTCAAGAAAATGCCTCTGAAAGCAAAAAGGAAATATTGTAACACCCAACTGTACAATAGTTGATAAATTTGCTAAATTGAGAATTTCGACGTTCAATGGCCGATCCGCCTCGACTTTCTCTGAATTCCCAGTTTGCGCCACCCTTGAGACGCATGATTCTTTTTATCCACTTTTTTTCACAATGTACTTTGGATCTATCTGTAAATGTCAAGCACGTCGCGCATTCGTACCGCGTGTTACGACCTTTCATCGGCACACCCTTTATGCACGTCGTACAAAGATGCTTTGTGTTAGACGTACACAAAGAGCGCGAGACACTTCTCCGACCCAGTTATATTTTTTCGAAGCATCTCTTTCGCTACGAGTATGAGAGAAAGAGAGAGAGAGAGAGAGAGAGAGAGAGAGAGAGAGAGAGAGAGAATAAAAAATATACCAAAGAGAGTTTTCATAGAAAAAGATAATGCACATCGGCTTTGCAGTCACGTGCAATTTATTTGTGCGCACAACGCATTAAACAACATGCAATTAAATTTTCATTTTTGTTTTCTGTTTTTGTTTTTATTCCACGGATATCGCGAGCCGCACAACACGGTACCGTTGAACGGAGAAGGAAGGGCGAGGGGGGAGGAGACGACGAGGGATTGATATAAATCCCGCGGAACCGCAATCGTTAAAAGGTTTTTTCTTTTTTATTTTTTTACCGACCCCCCGACGGCTATTCGATATTATTTCGGCGCGTTGGAAATATTTTGTCGCCGTGTAATACAAGCTTCGCTCCGGCTGCTAACAAACGAGTCGTTTGTCTTTCCGGCTATCAAACAACGCGGCAGCACTTTTAACGTCCGCGCCACGTGTTCGGGATGCAAAGAAAGAAAAAAAAAGAGAGGAAGATCGTTTAAGACGTTTTCCGAGATAGTGACTGATGCAACGTGCACGTACACAGAGAGACACACACACGTATACACACATGTCCATACACATGCACATCTCGCACTGAAAGCTTCAATTAACAAGGTTTTATCACAGGCTCCATGACAGGAGAATCGGAGAGGAGGACGATTTGCATGAATGTATAAACGAAGCACCACTATGCACGCAGGTGCGCGGTGAAAAGCTTCATTTGAATTCAATTCGAGTATCTTCCGCTTTCGGGTGCCCGTATACTCGTATGATTGTGTGTGTGTGCGCATGTATATGTGTGTAAGAGAGAGAGAGAGAGAGAGAAAGAGAGAAAGAGGGGAGGGGGTACGGAGCTGTATCGATTTGTCACACATAATCGCCGGACTGCTTAAAGAAGATGCGTTGGAGCGATGGCGCGGAAGGGTGAACTTCAACAGGAGATCATTTCTTTGTAATTTAGCCCGACGCGACGCGTCATCCTCTTTAAGCGTCCTCGGCGCCGCGTCCGTCAACATACCCGATGGATTTCGCGTTGATTCGCGGGAGCCGGAGGATTTTCTCATATTTGAGGAACCGCCACACCGGCGGAAAAATGTCCTCGGTATCTGTGACTGCAGTCTCGCGCAGCGAGGTAATTATAAAAGCGGGACAACTAATTGAAAACGGGAAATACGGCTGCAGTCTGTGTTATCTGTGATATATAATTATGATTATAATTTTATACGCGCAATGTGTTGTACAACGACGAGAAAATATAGCTCTCGCGACGGAAACACGTAACAATTAATATAATAATAATAAAAAATGACTGCTGGGTAATATAACTTTAATTTTAATAGTTGTGATTTACAAATCACTTTGAACTGGGATGTCAATGATTTTTATGTAACTGATTGTTTCTCCTGCTATCGCTTATCGTCATCAGCGAATCAGTCATAAACCTGTCACATCTTTTGGTCTGCTTAGCAAACGCATTCTGCACTCGAAGTTTCTGGGAGTGAAATTTCCCTCTGAAAGTGGAATGACCCACGAGTCACTCGAATCCGGGGAATTTTTCATTCACATAGAGATGGATTCTCTGGTCCGAATCGAGTGAATATTTTCATTCGCAATTGAAGAGTGAATTATTATCTAATCATTTCCTCAATATTTCTGTTTGCAGATTGATTGACGACTTGACATCAGGATCGACCGGTCACCACTCCAGGGCGGCAGAGCGATGGTGAGTGATCTAGAAATTGTTAAATTCTCCATATATACTGACTTATCACTTTACAAACTGCTGTATCCGGTGGCTAAATATCCATCGTGAATATATCATCGAAAAATGATCCGTGCCACACGATCCGTAACGCACGAATAATTAAATGCGCCTATAATTAAACGAACACATACCGGACATCGCGAGTGCTCCGGCAAGCCGGGATTCCCCCGGCTCTCGTACACGCGCTCACACACCCAGAAATATCCGAGTCAACGCAAATCGCACGTCTCGTGGACGAGGTAACGGCGACCACGATCATGTAAAGCCCGTATCGGACTACGGATTAGGGATTGGACTGAATTGAAATTTAACCAGCCAGAATAAAGAAAACTTCAAGTTTCCACGGAAAAAAGGATTGACTAATTTACGAACAGCCAACCGCATTTCAGCTGAAGCTGAATGTTTGGTTGTAACAACTGAGTTCAGTTATTAGATTATATAGTTCAGTTAATTAGACAACTAAAGTCGGTTGTTATAATCGAGCATTCTGGCCGCTTCCGCTGAAATGCGGTTGACTGTTCTGTGAATCAACTAATCTTTTTTTTTCCATGATTTATTAAACTTCCCTCTGATTTCAATCCAATCCAATCCCTAATCTATGGTCTGATACGAGCTTAATGAGCATTCGTCAAGTTTCCACGGAAAAAAGGATTGACTAATTTACGAACAGCCAACCGCATTTCAGCTGAAGCTGAATGTTTGGTTGTAACAACTGAGTTCAGTTATTAGATTATATAGTTCAGTTAATTAGACAACTAAAGTCGGTTGTTATAATCGAGCATTCTGGCCGCTTCCGCTGAAATGCGGTTGACTGTTCTGTGAATCAACTAATCTTTTTTTTTCCATGATTTATTAAACTTCCCTCTGATTTCAATCCAATCCAATCCCTAATCTATGGTCTGATACGAGCTTAATGAGCATTCGTCAAGTTTCCACGGAAAAAAGGATTGACTAATTTACGAACAGCCAACCGCATTTCAGCTGAAGCTGAATGTTTGGTTGTAACAACTGAGTTCAGTTATTAGATTATATAGTTCAGTTAATTAGACAACTAAAGTCGGTTGTTATAATCGAGCATTCTGGCCGCTTCAGCTGAAATGCAGTTGACTGTCTGTGAATCAACTAATCTTTTTTTTTCCATGATTTATTAAACTTCCCTCTGATTTCAATCCAATCCAATCCCTAATCTATGGTCTGATACGAGCTTAATGAGCATTCGTCGCGTTTGACGTCTCAAAAGGACGTCAGTCAGTCGCGGGTCAGTCGCTTTATTCGTCGAATTTTCCCGCCAAAGTGGCGCAGTCGACTGTATTGGCGCGGATATTACGGCGACCAGGAGCCGATCGTCCTTCGCGCTACCGTCCGCGTGATTATCGCGGCCGCGGGAGAGGATTCTGGACCAACGACTCGATGAAAATCTCCTAATAGCCGATCGTGTTGGGCGACCGAGGACGCGATCGGCGCGCAGAAATCGCATCGCCGCGTTGCACGCGATCCGATCGTGCAAGGGTGCGAGGGTGCAAGAGGGGGTGGGTGTCGCTCGGATGCGCCGCATCGTCCGTACAATACGGAACGCGTTACGCGCGGATATCGGCCAACATCCGTTCACGCGCCGATGGCAAGAACGATTGTAGTATCTATCTCTCTCTCTCTCCCTCCCTCTCTCTCTCTCTCTCCTCTTCTCTCCCACCATCTCCCCTCACCGGAGGGCTCGAGCGAGGCCGCGCCGATAATTCACGACGAGTTGACAGCGCGCGATACTTCATCGTCAATAATCTGCCGGGCGCATCATCCGCAACGCGTCCGGGACGAGCACGCGGATGATACGTGGGCGGCCCAATCAACGGCCACCACCACCGCCGCCGCCGCTGCGCTCGTCTCTTTTTCCAGCAAAGACGAGCAATGAAATCGGACGAGGCGCGTGGGCATTTAATTGGATGATTGGGCGAAACGATACGTCGTCGATAAATTTGTTCTGCTATGCAGAGAGAGAGAGAGAGGAAAGAAAAAGATATAGATAAGATAGAGAGAGAGAGAGAGAGAGAGAGAGAGAGAGATTGCGGTGGGAGGAAATGAAAAAAGACGGAGGGGGAGAGAAGCGGTAGTTGCGGCCTGAGGCCCCGTTATGGTCCGAAAATTGTTATCGGGAGCGATCGCGCGTTACAGATTATTATTACGTGAATAAAAACGAAGGCCAAGTCGATTCGTTGGAACGGCAATCTTCTTCTTGCAAAGTCGATTCGTATGACAATCGACTCAACGACCATGAGGGAGCCGTCGCGTGGCACCTTCTTCTCCAATTGTGGCGATGATAGTTCCCCGCGCCTTGCGGCCGACGGTACAAATTAATCGATCGATTTCTCGCATTTCGCCCATCGTGACTCGTCATCCGGGAAATCGTCATCCACGCGACCGGACGAATCAGTCGCGGTGCGGCGTCGGACGAGAAGGGAAGGAAAAAAAAAGAGAGAGCGTATAAGAGGAGGCTCGAAACTAATTCGTCCGATGAATTGCAACGGCACGGCTTTTGACGGTACTATCCGTCGTTGCTCGCGAAGCGATCATTATCAAGGTTTGAAATAACCGGTAAGGGAGAAGATGAGAGAGGGAGGGCGGGGGGAACGATAATTGTCAACTGCCTGTCAAAAACCGCGGTGATCAAAGGAACGTCAACAGCACCACGCTCGCTCACAAACGTCGGACACAAAGGAAAGTGTCGCCGCTCGTATCGGCGCGGAAGCGCGCAAAAACACAGCGAATCAAAGCTTTCGCGAATATAAAAGAAGAAAAAAATTGGTCGGGAAATAGACACACGAGCTATAATTGGCGCGTTCGGACGAGACGACGTTGGCGAGGTTAAAGACAAAAGGAATAAAAAAAAAGGATAAAAAAACAAGGAAATAGGAGAGGAAATAAGATTCCGCTTTGATTAGCCGTTTCGCGACTTCCTGCCCGTCAGTCGCGTGCAAAATTAATCGTTTGTACGCAAACGATGCCGTCGTTTCGCCTTCGAGCTTATCGATCTCTGGGAGATTAGCTGGCGGAGCATAAAAAAGGTACTTCCACGGGGTCTAATGAGAGTAATGGAGTCTTGTAGCTGAAGAACGCCTTTCTTCTGGATGGATACGCCCGAAGCATCGCCTCGCAAAAGTACCGAAGGACCTCTCCCCCTCTCCCTCCCTCTCTCTCTTTCCTCTCTCTCTCTCTCTCTCTCTCTCTCTCTCTCTCTCTCTCTTAGCCTCTCTCTTACTTCGTGCTGAGAGCGAAAGCGCAATGGAGGGTGAAGATCTAGTTACTTGTGTTGTTACTGAAGTTGAAAAAAGATCTATGTCGTGAGAAGAAAGAGAGACAGGGAGAATAGGTAAGAAAGAGGGAGAGACGTGTCTCTTATGGCGTTGAACGTCGAGCATCTGCTTAATTTCTCATCGTTCCTCCGTGAACTTTCCTCGCGGATACTCGGCGCTGTTCTCGCGTCCGAAACTCCTTAAAACTTCGCCTCCGCCGCCCGTTCGCCTTACGTATGCTTCTCGGTTCGTCAGGCGTGAGCGTGATTTCGCGATGCCGTCGTGTGCGCGGGCTTACCTCAATTAAATGCGTAAAAATCCGCGAGAAATGTTGGACAGACTGTGATTATCACGACGTTTATTCGCCGCTGCGCCCGCGCGTTTCCGCTGACGTGGAGCCGGCGAGACGCCACCGAAAATTTTTTCGCGCGAATTTGCCCCTCGAATAACGTCGCTACACGTAGTCTCGCGATTCGCCCTCGAAACGGACATATCCGTCATCACTGGCCGCCGGTCAACGGGCAGCGAAAGAAGAAGAAAACGTAAGGCTGTGAAGACAGGGTGGCGACAGAAGTGCGCGAGGAAAAGAAACGATTGCTTCTGGCGGCGCGGCGCGCTTGCGAAATGAACGCGGCGTGACTGCCGCTTTGAAACGGGGATGAATTGTAATTGGACGGAAATGGAATTCGGATAGTTCAGGACCAAATACGCAGAAAGAGACAGATCGCTCAGGCGGAGGCAGAGTGAGTGAGATAGCGTGACAAGGGGTGAGGATGAGACAGCGGGGTAGAGAGAGAAACACAGAGAGACAGAGAGAGAGAGAGGGGGAGAGAGAGAGCAGAGAGATGGGACGCAGAGAGAGTGAGGTGGTGAGTGAGTGGGTGTGAGAGAGTGAGCGAGGGTGGCGGGAGGGAGGGAGGGAAAGAGACAGAGAGAGGGTCGACGCCAGTGGCCTGTAACTCTATGCCTCTGTGAGCTTCGATCAATAGAGGCGGTACAACATTGCACCGAACGCCACCGAACGCTAAAACAGTTTGTGCAGCCTCCGCGAGCGATTTTCCGAAATTACCCCTTAGGATCCCTCGGCCGATCTGCCCCAGCGGCTTTTTAGGCCGAGTCGCGGCGGTCGTGTTTGAAATTAAGCTCCCGTCGGAGAAAATTTTCCACCTTCATTAATTTTCGACGCGCGGCTGCTCGCATTAAGAGTGAAAGTTCCTCTTCTCCCCTTCCCCTCTCTCTTTCTCTCTCTTACTCTCGGTCTCTTGGATCTGTATCGAGGGTGATAAGAGAGGAGGAGAGAGGAGGGATCAATGTTTGCGGTTCACACCACCCCTGCAGGGTTGTCTTCGCAAAAATACGCCAAGAAGGCGGTCGGAGTATAATTTATAATTATTTTTATCGATTATTTATTATCTCACCCAATTCGAAGGAGAGTCTGCTTTGTGTCAAATAGCAGCATCCGTGCGATTCCTTTGGGAGGGAAACATTCTTCGCGTAGACATATAGAGAATAGACTGCGCATTGCTGTAGAAGAGATGAGGTCAACATTAAGAAAGAGAGAAAGAGAAAGAGAGTAGTGTTTTTTGTATTTGCTAGAAAATTGTCTGTGGTACATAGAATTTACAGCAGCAGTAGCGTCCTGGCGATATTTGCCAGTAAATTTAGGATTATACG